TCATAAGAGTTGTAAACACGCCTGTAGAAGAAATTGTGGTACTCAGTCTTCTGGCTCTCTGGCGAAATAACTCCTTCTTACCTATTACACCACCCTTGCCATCTGTGGTAACATGGTAGACTAGGGTTACCTTTGCCAGAGCTGGCACTGAGGTGTTTGGACTTTTAGTCTCCAGAAGTGTGAGCAAAACCAAACCCTTACCTTTATAGCATTAGGGTGCCTTAAGGATTTTGAAAAATAGACAGTACAGAAGTAAAATGAGAGGAAAATCATATTTTTATTTGCTGCTGTGGTTAGTTCCAGGGAAATTTGGTCACAGGACATCCACTGTAATTCAGCTGGGTAGTTTTGTTTTTAGTTGGCATCTGCTTTGTAGATTGCCCATACTTAACAGTGAATGGACCTTTAATTCTATCACTCTTGAGGTAGAAGCAGGTGGATTTCTGTGATTTCTAGACCAGCCAGGGTTGTATTGTGAGACTGTCTCAAAAGCAAATTTCTGTTCAGATCAGTGTGTGTGTGTGTGTGTGTGTGTGTGTGTGTGTGATGTTTGAATGCTATATATCTTAAATAATGAATTATAAATTAAGAATATGCATTTTAGCTGAGTGGTAGTGGCATACACCTTTAATCCCCAAACTCAAGAGGCATAGGAAGGCTGATTTCTGTGAGTTTGAGGCCAGTCTTGTCTATAGAATGAGTTCCAGGACAGCTAGTACTACACAGTGAAACTGTCTCAGAAAACCAAAAAAGGAAAAAAAAAAGTCTTGAGGGAAGCTTCATTTCTTAAATGGGGTTGGGTTTAGTGAAGTAAAGGTCGTGGTGAATCTCATGTCAAGCCATGGAAGTGAGTAGAAAGGAGAATAAAAAATTGGGCGTAGTTGCAGAATGGAAGGCACACTGCTTGCTTCATGTCACATTCACGCTGGGCTGCCAGGGAGGAAAGGGTAGAGGGGGCTGAGGCATCTGATGGTAGAAGACCTTAAATGCCTAGTCTGAAAGAGTGCTGTTATTGAGGAAGTTGTATCCTTCAGGGAAGCGGTAAAGATCAGGGCAGAGTGATAGTGACAGCTCTCAACAATGCTTTGGAGAATTTTAACTGTCAGTAGTATGCTCATTATCGTTTCTGAAATGAAAAAGAAGGAGGCAGAGGTTGGAGGATTGCAACTCTGAGGCCACTTGGGCTATATAGCAAGACCCCGTGTTCAAAAAAATAAAAATAGAAAGTGATTAAGGAAGGTAAGAATAGAGTGATAAAGGATAGATACGGAAAGAAAGGGAGAGATTGTGTGTAGGCAGACTTTTCTATCCCAACATCCACTTCCCAAAAAACCACATAGAGACTTAATCTTAATTATAAATGCTTGGTTTTTAGCTTGTTTTTAGCTAACTCTTATAACTTAAATTAACTCATTTATATTAAATATGCACTACCCTAAGACTTGTTAACTTCATCTATATACTTCCCATCCTGCTGGCTCTGCTACTTATGGTGTCCCCTCAGATTCTGCCCTTCTTCTTCCCAGCATCCTCTTAGTCTATCTTACCTAACCTTATCCTGCATAGCTACAGGCCAATCAGCTTCTTTATTAAGTCAATCACAATGAAGCATATTCATACAGTGTAAAGGAATATTCTGCAAGAATAGAAGGAAGGAAAAGAAGAAACAGGTAGGCAGATAGATAGGTAGGTCGGTAGTAGGTAGGTAGGTAGATAGATAGATAGATAGAGATAGATAGATGGATGGATAGATAGATAGATAGATAGATAGATAGATAGATAGATAGATAGATAGATAGATGAAGAAATAAAGGGAAGAAGGAAGGAGAAACAAGACAGATCAGGGAGGACCTAAAAATTAACTGATCTTAAGAGTAGGAACAAATAAAGCAGAAGGATGTATTTAAGGAGGTGATGCTAAAGACAAGATTCGACTGTGGAAGAACGGGAGAGAACTACAGCTTCCACTCCAGATTCTTTGTGGCAAGGAAGGCGTGGCAGCAGGCCTGTGACCTTGTGGCCATACTGTGCCCATAGTCAGGAACCAGAGAGGTGAATGCTGGTGTGCCATTTACGAATTAGTGGGTCTGAGACCCCAGTACAGGGAATGGTACTCCCTACCTGCAGCTTGCATCTTTTTAAATTTTTTAAATCTCAATTGAACCTCTCTGGAGACTCCCTCAGAGACACACCCAGAGTTGTGTCTCCTAGGGGATTCTGAGTCCTGTCAAGTTCATGAACAATCTGAACAGAGAGTCACAGAGAACTAATAGAACTTAGATAAAAGAAAGAGTGACCTTGTTCCCCAGCAGTGAGGCACTGATGAGTCTAGATCAGAAGTCTATGGGCGACTTCAGGGAGGTCTTCCTGGAGAGAGAGGCATTATGATTTAGAATGGCGATGGGGTAAGTGGAGCTGCTCATTTAAAGAGGTGTGAATGAATTAAACTATTTGAAAGCACATGTAAGGTCTTTCAGGAACTTCGGCATGGCTTAGGTCCACTTAAGGAACAGCCGATATTCCTGTATATTAAAGGGTATACAATATGTCTATAATGTGAGAAGAATGTCACTCCAAGCTGAGGAGCTTGGGATTTACTTTGAGGTCTTGGAATTTAAACTCTAAAATAAGTGTTATAGAGAAATAAGAGAAAAGCATGTGACTACATAGTTATGGCAGGGATTTCAAGTCTTAAATAAAAACAAGCAATGTTCAATAGAGCAGGACTAAATAGAGGACTCACTAAGGGTTGAGGAGGAAGCGGAGTGAGAAAGATGGTGTCCCAGACAATGGCAGATGTTCACCAAGCCATTCCTTTGGCTTTGTATAGAGTTAATGAATGATTCTTAATTACTTTCAATCTTGTTGAATCCAGGTGGAAGTTTGTCAGTGTTGTGTAAATAGAATTGCTCAATGAGCTAGGGAAGTAAGGAGAGTGACCTTTACCACATTCTCTTTGACTTCCCATTTACTGACTAAGAGACATCAGAATGACCTCAAGGCCACATTTAGAAGATCTTTGAATGACTGCTATGGGTCACCCTGGACATGAATGCAAATAAGAAATGCCCAGTTTTGTGTGGATGTGTGTGCTAAGATTTTGAGATGATTATTGGTGGTTGTTGTTGTTGTTGTGTCTTTTACTTAATTTATCTGTTTTGAGGCAGAATCTGACTAAACACTCAGCTTAAAACCCCAGACCTCCTAAATGCTGACTCCAGAGAACTATGGTTACAGGTGTGTGCTAGCACACCCAGCTGTAATTCTTTCACTTCCAACAATTTCTTTTAAAACAGATAGTTGCCCTAGCTAAAAACAGCTGTTGATCAGATTTGCTGCTTGAGATGACATGTAGATGAATAATGTCTTTTGACAAATTTGGGGGCATGATAGAATGGCTTTTTTTTTTTTTGGCAGGAGGCAATTTTCAATTTATCCAATTACTTTTTTATGTCAGTATTTTACCAAAAGTCTATGTAAATTATGGTTCTGGGTATGATTTTGAAACTCAGAGGGAAAGACAAGGCTAGAATCATGGGAGTTTTAAACAAAAAGTCACACTGGAATCATGAGAATGAGTGACAATATCCTTCTGTCTGGGTTTCCATGAAGAGAGGTTCCCATAACCTACACCTTGTAATGTGAACCCAGAAGAGAATGAAGAAAATGAAATAGCAACGGACCCTGAAGTGAGGAAGAAACAGGAGGAATAGGAGGAAACCCACCGCGTTAGTTGTGTTTCTCGGAGCTCTGACAAATGCAACTTGCAGGAGAAGGGGTCTGTTCTTGCTCACAGTTCAAAGGTGCAGTGCAGCATGGCAGGGAAGCCTCAGCAGCGGATGTTTGAGATAGTTGGCCATCTTGTCCCCACTGTTTGGAACCGAGAGAAATGAGTGCTGGTACTCAGTTTGCTTTCTTCTTTGTATTCAGTCTGAGACCACAACTCATGGGATGATCTGGTTGGTCGTTTGAATATAATTATCCACCATAAGTTCATAGGGAAGGATGCTATTAGGAGGCGTGGCTTTGTTGGTTCACGTTTATCACTGTGGACGTGGGCTGTCAATTTTGTTTGTTTGTTTATTTATTTATTTATTGAAGATTTGTCTCTTCCCCACCGCCGCCTCCCATTTCCCTCCCCCTCCCCCAATCAAGTCCCCCTCCCTCGTCAGCCTAAAGAGCAATCAGGGTTCTCTGTCCTGTGGGAAGTCCAAGGACCACCCACCTCCATCCAGGTCTAGTAAGGTGAGCATCCAAACTGCCTAGGCTCCCACAAAACCAATAGGTGCAGTAGGATCAAAAACCCATTGCCATTGTTCTTGAGTTCTCAGTAGTCCTCATTGTCTGCTATGTTTAGCGAGACGGGTTTTAACCCAGGCTTTTTCAGACCCTGGTTCTTAGAGAAGCTAAATAAGAAGGAGAACCCAAAGAAAAACATATAGGCATCCTCCTGAATATTAACCTTCATCAGGCGATGAAAGGAGACAGAGACAGAGACAGAGACCCACATTGGAGCACCGGACTGAAATCTCAAGGTCCAAATCAGGAGCAGAAAGAGAGAGAGCACGAGCAAGGAACTCAGGACGGCGAGAGGTGCACCCACACACTGAGACAATGGGGATGTTCTATTGGGAACTCACCTAGGCCAGCTGGGCTGCCAATTTTGAACTTTCAGTTTTAAAACATTGTTGAGACTATGATGGACTATGGGGGTTTTGAAGTTATACTGAATGCATTTTGCATTATGATGTGGTTACAAGTTTATGGGAGGCAGAGAGAGTGGACTGTCATAGTCTGAATGTAATTGACCCACATAAGCGCATAGGAATTAGCACTATTAGGAGATATAGCTTTGTTGGAGTGGGTGAGGCCTTGTTGAAGGAAGTATTTCACTGTGGAGGTGGGCTTTGAGGTCTCATATATGTTCCAGCCATACCCAGTGTCTCAGTTCACTTCCTGTTGCCTGCAGGTCAAAGATGTAGTATTCTTTGCTCTTTCTCCAGGATCATGTCTGCCTGCATGCTGCTGTGTCCCACCATGGTGATAATGGACTGAACCTCTGAAACTGTAAGTTGCCCAATTGAAGCTTTCCTTGTAAGAGTTAACGTGATCATAACGTCTCTTTACAGCAATAGAAACCCTAAAGACTGATGGTAACAGAGAAATTAGGATGGACTTTCCCATCTTAATTAACTTAATCAGGAAAATCCCACACATACTTGCCCAGAGGCATTTTCTTCTTCATGTCTCCAGAAACATCTCCTAGTTGTGGGAATCCTCTTTTGCTCTGGGACTGTTGGCCACCAGGTCAAGAGGTGAAAGAGGCAGATGGGATGATAGAAAGTGTTGGTGGCTCGTGAGCATGAACAGAGACAAGCCTCCAGGAGACAGATTTTGGTGAATCAGTTTGATTTTATTTCAGATATAAGGAATATATAAGATTGATGAGCCTGGGAAGAAACCCTAATTTACATGAAATGGCACACTTCTATCACAAGGCTTAGTCTGTGGCAGTGGGGTCCTACAATAGAGCCCCTAGCACAAGTCTTCTCAGCAGGGATCTATGCCATGGGTCAAGCTAAAGATGAAATAGGCATCTGGTTTTGGAGACAGCTTTTGAAGTGAGGTCAGTTGTCCAGCTTCAGGGATGTTCTCCAGATAAGGGCAGGTAGAGGCAGGAAGTTCTGCTGGAGGGAAAGAGTCCATTTTGCTGAGTTTATTGCGATAAGCTTCTAGGCTGTAGGGAGGTTGTGACCTCTGACCAGCTAACAATATCATTTAACACCTGGTGATGATTCTAGGTCTTGTCAAACTGGCAATCAATATCTATAATCACATTTACAGTAATGAGATATCTCATAGAGTAAAGAGGGTTGGGACAATCCAAAGGACCCAGCAGTTAAAATCCTTGCAGAAGGTCAAAGCTCTCTGTTGTATTAGGTGTGGGCTGCTTTTTGTCTCGCCTGGCCCCCCAGCTGGCTTATACCTTGAAATAATAACACACAAATTGTATTAATTTAAACACTGCCTGGCCCATTAGTTCTAATTTCTTATTGCCTAACTCTCACATCTTGATTCAACACAATTCTAATAATCTGTATATCACCATGAGGTCGTAGCTTACCAGGAAAGATTCAGCATGTCTGACCTGGCAGCTGGCTCCATGGCAGCAATCTCTGACCCTGCTTTCTTCCTCCCAGAATTCAGTTATGTCTACCCCACCTACCTATGTTCTGACCTATCAGGCCAAGCAATTTCTTTATTAATTAACCAATGAAAGCAACACATAGATAGAAGAACCTCCTACAACAGCTCTTTGCTTTCTTGTTCAGAGATTGTGTAAATCAAGGCTACATGCTCTTTGTCTTTATAGGTTCCACTGATGTTTGATTACTAATAATGTCCCTTTCACTTGCAAGCACAACTTGTCTTAGATGATGATCTATGTGGTCATTTTAGTCATCACATATGTATTGAGAATGGGTTCACTGTGACAAAAACCATTATCTGTAGACAGAGACCTTCATGTTCACGGATGAAGCAGTGGCATGGAGGATTATCTTCCAAAACCTAGTGACAGGGAGAATTGAGGCCCTAAGGGAGGGATTTGTGTTTACTGGGGCTGCTGTTTTGTTTGTTTTTGTTCAAGGAAGGAAAAACCTTCCTTTTGTGCTAAGAAAGAATGGTGTCTATAAAGAAATGTGGCCATGAAGAGCTCCTCCATTTATTGTGTGATACAAAATGAGTCAAGAGTAATTATTCTATCTGGTATAAACCACTGTATTCCTTTCTGCCACTCAAAATCACAAAGGCTGATTTCAGGTTGAGTCTTTGGAGGTATCTCTTTAAAGGGATAGAATAAAAGCAACTCCATTCTTGGTCTACAAGCTGTCTTTGACCCCATCATCTGTGTGCTTTGAAATGCTCTGCCGGTGTTTCTGTGGGATATCAAATCATGGTCTAGGAAGGTAATATCTTAAATTTAATCTTTGATGTATAAATAAGAATGTATTTATTAACCAATACATCTTCTTTCTTGGGTACTGTACTTGATATTTTTTTCTGCTTCATATTAATATGCAGAAGTCTGTGCATCTTCACAATTCACAGTGTAATTATCAAGCTGTGAAGAAGACCCAGTGTGTGAAGTGCTTGATCAGCAAGTGTAAGGACCAGATTTTAAAACCATAGAACCCATGTAACACTGGACATGATAGCACACGTCTGCAATTCCAGTTCTCTTCTGGAGAGATAGGAGGTGGAGACAGGAGAATGCCTAAAAAGCTGTGGAGCAACCAGCCTGGTGTGTAGCAGTATACAACAAGAGACCCTGTCTCAAACAAGATGGAAAGAGAAGACTACCTCCCAAGGTTGTCCTATGACCTCTAAACCACACAGGAACACACACATGAATGCAAGTGGATTTATGTACACATGAACACTCACATGCATGAACACAAACACATTTTTTAAAGGAAGAAAGAAAATTAGAGGTTGGAGAGATGTCTCAGCAGTTAAGAGCCCAAACTGCTCTCATAGAAGACGAAGTTTGGTTCCTTGTTCCCACCATGCATATCACAACCACTTATAACTCCTGGTGATCTGAAATAATTTCCTTCTCACCTCTGCAGGTGCTGTACTCAATGTACACATAGTCCCCACTTCCCCACACACATAAATGAAAGGAAAAGAAATCTTTAAGAGTCACCCGTCCATTTTTCCAGTGCTGAATAATCAGGATTAACACTATATAAAATAGTGTCAGAAGGAAAACAGTAAGACAAAGCTAGGCTCAGCACAGTTGGCATTCTTGTCTGGATGAGGAATGTGACCCTCATTTTCATTCTTTCATACATCTCTGATTGAATATTTTGTTTATCAGAAGACTTTGTTGTAAAAGATCTAATTTTTAATGAAAGAAGCCATCCTATTATAGAGAAAAAAAAAGCTACTTTGAAACAAATTAATTTTTTTTTTAGGTTTGTAAAGGAATGCAGCTTGTGTTGGTGATGAGCTCATGGGCCAAGCCTGAACTGGCTCTCTGGTTCTTGGATAATAGCCATCCCAGAGACTTAGCTGCAAAGTTGAAATCCACATCTCATTATAAAAAGGGACTTGCTTCCTCTAAAGATCTGTTCCGCTAAAGTTAATACTTTTAGCCCAAGAGAAGCCACTTGTCAGAGGAACATCAACAATAATAACGATTTCCATAAAGTAGTAACATTCATTATAAATGGCCACACCTCACCCCCTTTATGAGAATGACTGCCGTCTTGAAAATACTATAGCTTAACTATGTGACTATCTTACTTAAACCATACTTGAATTAAACTTTGAAAGCTCAGTTTCCTCATGTCTCTGAAAATTTAGACATTTAGAGGATACTGATGTATCTCCCCATAGAGACAAGGAAAGCTAAGCTTCAGGCAGCTTCATTAGAGTAACAGGTTGAATAGCACTAGGCAGCACATCAGCAGAATTCGCCTGAATTGTGCTGGGAGGATATACAGATGGGATAACCTGAGCAATGACAAACATAGAAGTCTTGAGTGTACCGGAGAATAGGGATGGGCTGTAGGATTCCGAAGCAGAGCATCACGTCCCAGGATGAGAGAGGAACTGTACTTAGTTAGTATCAGGCTTTACTGTTCTTTTGCTTCTAGAATTTTCACATAAGCCACATTAGCTAACTGTGCTTATGGAGATTTGCTGTGGTCAGGGTCCACACTGTCTTTCAGTCTCAGCTGTTCACAGAATGGCAGCACCTAGACTCCAGAGAAAACAAGATGGACAACAGTCTTAATGTTGGCTTCTATTCCTCTTTATGACGGTCAATACATGAGTACCGTAAGTTGTATTTCTACAGGTATTTTAGATTCACATGCCTCTTAACTATTTAGACCTATGATCTATTTCTCCTAACTGGATTTCACTAATTATCTCTTCCAAAATCATTATATTTATTTATTTGTAGGCACGTGTGTGTGTGTGTGTGTGTGTGTGTGTGTGTGTGGTGTTGTGTTGTTATCGGAGAACAAATCATGGCAATATTTCCAAATTTACCATGTAGATGGAACTTAGGTCATCAGGGTTGATGGCAAATGCCTTTACCCACTCAGCCCAAGACATTTTATTTCTTGCTGTTCATGACAATGTGCTTTAGGAATGTTAGCTTTCAAGTGATTTCAATAAGAATCTTCCAGGGGACTTCTTATTTTCTCCATCTCTTCTTATTGACTACAGCTCTGTGGGTTGGTTCTAATTACCATTATTTCAGAACCACAACCCAAAAGAAAAATTGTACTTCTTTTAATTTTTATTTTTTAAATTAGCAGAGAAGGTATTAGATCTCATATGGTATTTTCAAGCAAAGTATGTTTTGGTACATTCCTCTTTCCCCTCACTTACTACAACCCTGACATCCATGGCTCTTTCTCTGATCCCTCCTCCATTCTCCTTCCATATTCATGTAATTATTAAAGATTTGTTATTTTTATGAACATGAGAGACCACAGACACCACAGCTGAACTAGCAGGGATGCTCAGTAGACTTGGTGCACCTCTATGTACAGAAATAATCATCATTTATGATCAAGTAGAGAACACTACAGATGAGCAAGCATTCCTTCCACAATAAGAAGAACAAATATATATTTTAACTTATATATTCTAATGTATTATATTATTAATATATTAAAGTTACATTTATGAATATGTAATACTTAGAACTTACTCAAAGACTTTAGGCAAAGTAACAAAGCTTTGTTAAAGTATATGAATCATAACCTAGTACATAGATGCTTAAATTAAGCTTCTGCACTTGAAGTCTTAACACCAAATATACCTAAGGCAATTCATCTCTTTTAAATAATATGAGGAATTCCAGGAATGGCATGTCACATCTATACTCCCAAAATTTGGGTGGGTAAGGCATGGAAATTACTACCTTGGCCTATATAGGAAGACCATCACAAAACTTAATGAGATGTTGATTGGAGGAGGTCAGAGAAAAATCTGGATGAAATTATATTGAAAATATTATTAAAGGATGGGGCAGCGAGGTGGCT